AAGATTAAAATTGAACCTGACCTGGTCCTTCTTAGGAACCTCCCAGACGGGGGGTGGGGGGGTGGGTGTGCGGGGACATAGGCATCATGGTGCTCAGTGCTGCCGGGAGAGCAGTGGGTGGCGGGGCAGGCTTTGCAGCGGAGTTGGACGTTAGAGTTTGGACTGGACGTTTAGAGTTTGGACGCTGGAGGAAGGAGCTGGAGTTGGCCAGGTCAAGAGCTGGGGGAAGAGCATTGAGAGAAGGCAAGAGGGAGAGAAGGTGTGCTGGTGTGGTAGGGTGGGCAAACTAAAGAGTGAGGGGCTTGGACCTCATCCCAACAAAAGACTTAAAAAATTTGTGGTAAAATGTACACAAAGTAAAATTGACCATTTAAACCATTTTTAAAACATATGTTTTTATTGATTTTAGAGAGAGAGGAAGAGAGAGGATGAGAGATATAGAATTATGGATGAGAGAGACATGGATCGGCTGCCTCCTGCACGCCCCCTACTGGTGATCGAGCCCACAACCTGGGCATGTGCCCTGACCGGGAATCAAACCAGTGCATGCATGGGTTGATGCTCAACCACTGAGCCACCCCGGTGGCAAACCAGTTTTTAGTGCACATTTTCGATTCAGTGTCATTAAGTACATTCATGTTGTTATGCAACCATCATCACCATCCATCTCCAGAACATTTCATCTTAAAAAAATGATCACTCAAGGATATGCTTATTGATTGTAGAGAGAGAAAAGGGGGAGGGAGAGAGAAACACATTGATGTAAGAAAGAAACATCATTTGGTTGCCTCCTGTACTGGCCCTGACGGGATCGAACTCGAAATCTTTTGGTGTATGGAACAACGCTCTAACTGAGCCACCCGGCTGGGGCCAGAACTTTCCATCTTTCCAAACTGAAAATTCAGCAGAGGAATGATGTGGAGAGGTCCTGAAACTCCACAGCCTTGTCCTCTCTTCTGGGCACTGCTTCTTGCCCTCCCCCGCCCCATGCCTCCTCCGAAAGTCCCCTCACAGACACTCCCCATCCCCCCCAGGCTGCAGAAGATCCTGGCAGAGTCCCCGCCGCCTGCCCGTCTGGACATCCAGCTGCCTGTCATCTCAGATGACTTCAAATTCCAGGTGTGGAGGAAGATGTTCCGAGCTCTGATGCCAGGTACGGGAGGCATGTTATGTTTGTAACCATGCGGTTGATGGGAGGCCGCAGCTACACACAGAGAGGCCTCCCAGTCTCAGCGAAGGTCACAGAAGAAGGTGCCTATTGCCCCTTTGCCTCTAGACTCTAGAGCAGTGATGGCGAACCTATGACACGCGTGTCAGAGGTGACACGGGAACTCATTTTTTGGGTTGATTTTCTTTGTTAAATGGCACTTAAATATAAAAAATAAGTATCAAAAATAAAAGTCTTTGTTTTACTATGGTTGCAAATATCAAAAAATTTCTATATGTGACACGGCACCAGAGTTAAGTTAGGGTTTTTCAAAATGCTGACACGCCGAGCTCAAAAGGTTCGCCATCACCGCTCTAGGGCAAGCATGTCAAACTCAAAGGCTAGCACGGGCCAAATAAACAAGGTTTAAGTTTATGTGGGCCGCAAAGAAACAAAAGTTTCAATTTTCATGGAAACGTAGGTTTATTTCAATAGAGACATGCTGAATACAAAGGGGCTGAACTAAATGAGTAATCGTGAACATAAAATAGAACATTTTAATAAAAATTAATATTTTTGCTTGA